AAAAGAAGAATGATCAGAAAAAGAAGAAAAATGATTTGAAGAAGAAAGAAGAATGAAGAAAAAAGAAGAAAAGAAAGAAATGAAGAATGAAAAAAAAAAAGAAAAATGAAGAAAAAAAAAAGAATGATTTGAAGAAGAAAAAATGAAGAATGAATAAAAAAAAAGAAAAAATGATTTGAAGAAGAAAAAGAGAAGAATGATCAGAAAAAAGAAGAAAATGATTTGAAGAAGAAAAAAGAATGATCAAAAAAAGAAAAAAATTTGAAGAAGAAAAAGAAGAATGATCAGAAAAAGAAAAAGAAAATGAAAAGAAAAAGAAGAAGAAAAAGAAGAATGAAAAGAAAAAATAAAAAAGAAGAAAAGAAAATGATCAGAAAAAAAAGAAAAATGATTTGAAGAAGAAAAGAAGAATGAAAAAAAAGAAAAGAAAAAATAAATATAAAAGAAAAAATGATTTGAAAAGAATGAATGAAAAAAAGAAGAAAAGAAAGAAGAAAGAAGAAATGATCAGAAAAAAAGAAGAAAAATGATTTGAAGAAGAAAAAGAAGAATGATCAGAAAAAAGAAAAATGATTTGAAGAAGAAAAGAAGAAGAAAAAATGATTTGAAGAAAAGAATGATAAAGAAAAATGATTTGAAGAAAAAGAAAAAGAAGAAAATGATCAGAAAAAAAAAAGAAAAATGAAAGAAAAAGAAAAAAGAATGATCAGAAAAAAAAGAAAATGATTTGAAAAAGAAAAGAAAAATGAAAAGAAAAAAGAAGAAGAAAAAAGAAAAAAATGATTTGAAGAAGGAAAGAAGAATGATCATCAAAAAAGAAGAAAAATGATTTGAAGAAGAAAAAAGAAGAAAAAAATGATTTGAAAAAAAAGAAGAATGATTTGAAAAAGAAAAAAGATTTGAATGAAAAGAAAAAAAAAAGAAGAAAAAAATTTGAAGAAGAAAAGAAGAATGATCAGAAAAAAGAAGAAAAATGATTTGAAGAAGAAAAAGAAGAAAAAGAAGAAAAGAATGAAAATGATTGAAGAAGAAAAAGAAGAATGAATAAAAAAAGAAAAATGAAAAAAAGAAGAAAAAGAAAAGAAATGAAGAAAAAGAAGAAAAAATGAAAGAAGAAAAGAAGAATGATCAGAAAAAGAAGAAAAATTTAAAAGAAGAAAAGAAGAATGATCAGAAAAAAAAGAAAAATGATTTGAAGAAGAAAAGAAGAATGAAAAAAAAAAAAAAATGATGAAGAAGAAAAAGAAAAAAAAATGATTTGAAAAAGAAAAAAAATGAAGAAAGAAGAAAAAAAGAAGGATCAGAAAAAAAGAAGAAAAAATGTTGAAGAAGAAAAGAAGAATGATCAAAAAAAGAAGAAAAATGATTTGAAGAAGAAAAAGAAGAATGATCAGAAAAAAAAAGAAAAATGATTTGAAGAAGAAAAAGAAGAAAAAAAAAAAAAAATGAGAAGAAAAAAGAAGAATATAAAAAAAGAAGAAAAATGAAGAAAAAAGAAGAATGATCAGAAAAAAGAAGAAAAAAAGATTTGAAGAAAAAGAAGAATGATCAGAAAAAGAAGAAAATGATTTGAAGAAGAAAAAGAAAATGATCAGAAAAAAGAAAAAAAATGATTTGAAGAAGAAAAGAAGAATGATGAAAAAGAAGAAAAATGATTTGAAGAAGAAAAGAAGAATGATCAGAAAAAGAAGAAAATGATTTGAAGAAGAAAAGAAGAATGATCATGAAAAAGAAGAAAAATGATTTGAAGAAATAAAAATGAGAATGATCAGAAAAAGAAGAAAAATGATTTGAAGAAGAAAAAGAAGAATGATCAGAAAAAAAAAAAATGATTTGAAGAAGAAAAAGAAGAATGATCAGAAAAAGAAGAAAATGATTTGAAGAAGAAAAGAAGAATGATCAGAAAAAAGAAGAAAAATGATTTGAAGAAGAAAAAAGAATGATCAGAAAAAAAGAAAATGATTTGAAGAAGGAAAAAGAAGAATGATCAGAAAAAGAAAGAAAAATGTTTTGAAGAAAAAAAGAAGAAATGATCAGAAAAAAGAAGAAAAAAAAAGATTTGAAGAAGAAAAGAAGAATGAGAAAAAAAAGAAGAAAAAATGAAGAAGAAGAAAAAGAAAATGATCAGAAAAAAAATGAATGATTTAAATAGAAAAAAAGAAGAAAAAAAAAAATGATTTGAAGAAGAAAAAGAAGAAGAATGATCAGAAAAAAGAAGAAAAATGATTTGAAGAAGAAGAAAAAGAAGAATGATCAGAAAAAGAAGAAAAATGATTTGAAGAAGAAAAAAGAATGATCAGAAAAAAGAAGAAAAAATGATTTGAAGAAGAAAAAGAAGAATGATCAGAAAAAGAAGAAAAAATTTGAAGAAGAAAAGAAGAAGAAAAAAAAGAAGAATGATCAGAAAAAAGAAGAATGAAAGAAAAGAAAAATGATTTGAAGAAGAAAAAAGAAGAATGATCAGAAAAAGAAAGAAAATGATTTAAGAAGAAAAAGAAAAAATGATCAGAAAAAAGAAGAAAAAATGATTTGAAGAAGAAAAGAAGAATGATCAGAAAAAGAAGAAAAATGATTTGAAGAAGAAAAAGAGAATGATCAGAAAAAGAAAAAGAAAAAAGAATGATTTGAAAAAAAGAAGAAAATGAAAAGAAAAGAAGAATGATCAAAAAAGAAGAAAAATGATTTGAAGAAGGAAAAAGAAGAAGAAAAAGAAGAAAATGATTTGAAGAAGAAAAGAAGAATGATCAGAAAAAGAAGAAAATGAAAAAGAAGGAAAGAAGAATGATCAGAAAAAAGAAGAAAAATGATTTGAAGAAGAAAAAAAGAATGATTAAAAAAAAAGAAGAAAATGATTTGAAGAAGAAAAGAAGAATGATCAGAAAAAAGAAGAAAAATGATTTGAAGAAGAAAAAGAAGAATGATCAGAAAAAGAAGAAAATGATTTGAAGAAGAAAAGAAGAATGATCAGAAAAAAGAAGAAAAATGATTTGAAGAAGAAAGAAGAATGATCAGAAAAAGAAGAAAAATGATTTGAAGAAGAAAAAAGAAGAATGATCAGAAAAAAGAAGAAAAAATGATTTGAAGAAAAAGAAGAATGATCAGAAAAAGAAGAAAAATGAAAGAAGAAAAGAAGAATGATCAAAAAAGAAGAAAAATGATTTGAAGAAGAAAAAGAAGAATGATCAGAAAAAAGAAGAAAAAAAAGTTTGAAGAAGAAAAGAAGAATGATCAGAAAAAAAGAAAAAATGATTTGAAGAAGAAAAGAAGAATGATCAAAAAAAGAAAAAATGATTTGAAGAAGGAAAAGAGAATGATCAGAAAAAAGAAGAAAATGAAGAAGAAGAAAAGAAGAATGATCAGAAAAAAAAGAAAATGATTTGAAGAAGAAAAGAAGAATGATCAGAAAAAAGAAGAAAAAAGATTTGAAGAAGGAAAAAGAGAATGATAGAAAAAAAGAAGAATGATTTGTAAAAGAAGAAAAAGAAGAATGATCAGAAAAGAAAAAGAAAATGATTTGAAGAAGAAAAGAAGAAGATCAAAAAAGAAGAAAAAGAAAGAAGAAAAAGAAGAATGATCAGAAAAAAAGAAAAATGAAGAAAAAGAAGAAAAGAAGGAAAGAGAGGAAAAAAAGAAGAAAAAAGAAAAATGAAGAAGAAAAAAGAAGAATGATCAGAAAAAAGAAAGAAAAAATGATTTGAAAAAGAAGAAGAAAAAGAATGAAAATGAGAAGAAGAAGAAAAAGAAAAAATGAAAAAGAATGATCAGAAAAAGAAGAAAAATGATTTGAAGAAGGAAAAGAGAATGATCAGAAAAAGAAGAAAATGATTTGAAAGAAGAAAAGAAGAATGATCAGAAAAAGAAAAGAAAATGATTTGAAGAAGAAAAGAAGAATGATCAGAAAAAAGAAAAATGATTTGAAGAAGAAAAGAAGAATGAAGAAAAAGAAGAAAAATGAAATAAGAAGAAAAAGAAGAATGATCAGAAAAGAAGAAAAATGATTTGAAGAAGAAAAGAAGAATGATCAGAAAAAGAAGAAAAAAGGAAGAAGAAAAAAATAAAGAATGATCAAAAAAAAGAAGAAGAAAAAATGATTTGAAGAAGAAAAAGAAGAATGAGAAAAAAGAAGAAAAAATATTGAAGAAGGAAAAAGAAGAATGATCAGAAAAAGAAGAAAAATGATTTGAAGAAGGAAAAAGAAGAAAGATCAGAAAAAATAGAAAAATGATTTGAAGAAGAAAAAGAAGAATGATCAGAAAAAGAAGAAAAAAAAGAATTTAAAAAAAAAAAATGTTAATGATCAGAAAAAAGAAGAAAAAGGAGAAGAAGAAAAAAGAATGATCAGAAAAAAAAGAAAATGATTTGAAGAAGGAAAAAGAAGAAGAAGAAAAAAAGAAGAAAAAATGAAGAAGAAGAAAAAGAAGAATGATCAAAAAAGAAGAAAAATGATTTGAAGAAGAAAAGAAGAAGGATCAGAAAAAAAAAGAAAAATGATTTGAAGAAGAAAAAGAAGAATGAAGAAAAAGAAGAAAAATGATTTGAAGAAGAAAAAGAAGAATGATCAAAAAAAAAGAAGAAAATGATTTGAAGAAGGAAAAAGAAGAATGATCAGAAAAAGAAGAAAAATTATTTGAAGAAGAAAAAGAAGAAAGATCAGAAAAAAAGAAGAAAAATGATTTGAAGAAGAAAAAGAAGAATGATAAAAAAGAAGAAAATGTTTGAAGAAGAAAAAGAAGAATGATCAGAAAAAAGAAGAAAAAAATGAAAGAAGAAAAGAAGAATGAAGAAAAAAGAAGAAATGATTTGAAGAAGAAAAGAATGATCAGAAAAAAAGAAGAAAATGATTTTAAGAAGAAGAAGAATGATTAGAAAAAGAAAAGAAAATGATTTGAAGAAGAAAAAGAAGAAATCAGAAAAAAGAAGAAAAATGAGGAAGAAGAAAAAGAAGAATGAAGAAAAAGAAGAAAATGAAAAAGGAAAAGAAAGTTAGAAAAAAGAAGAACGATCAGAAAGAAGAAGAATGTTAGAAGAAGAAAAAGAAGAATGTTAAAAAAGAAGAATGTTAAGAAGAAGAAAAGAAGAATGATCAGGAGGAGGAGGAAAGAGAAGAAGAAGAAGAAGAAGAAGAAAAAAAAGAAGAAGAAAAGAAAATGATTTGAAGAAGAAAAAGAAGAATGATCAAAAAAGAAGAAAATGATTTGAAGAAGAAAAAGAAGAATGTTAAAAAAGAAGTAAAAATGTTTGAAGAAGAAAAAGGAGAAGGAGGAGGAAAAGAAGAAAAGAAGAAGAAGAAAAAGAAGAAGAAGAAAAAAGAAAAAAACGCTTGAAGAAGAAAAAGAAGAAGAATGTTAAAAAGAAGAAAAAATGAAAAGAAGAAAAAAAGAAGAAAAATGTTAAGAAGGAAAAAAGGAGGAGGAAGAAGAAAAGAAGAAGAAGGAAAAAGAAGAAGAAAAAGAAAATGATTTAAAGAAGAAAAGAAGAACGATCAGAAAAAAGAAGAAAAATGATTTGAAGAAGAAAAAAGAATGAATGAAAAAAAGAAGTATGTTAAGAGGAGGAAGAAAATCAGAAAAGAAGAAGAAGAAGAAGAAGAAGAAGAAAAAAGAAGAAGAAGAAGAAAAAGAAGAATGATTAAAAAAAAAAGAATGTTAAAAAAAAGAAGAAAAAATGAAGAAAGTTAAAAAAGAAGAAGGAGGAGGAAAAAGAAGAAAAATGAAGAAGAAGAAAAGAAGAAGAATCAGAAAAAGAAGAAAAAATGTTAGAAGAAGAAAGAAGAACGAAGAAAAAAGAAGAAAATGTTAGAAGAAGAAAAAAGAAGAATGATAAAAAAAAGAAGAATGTTAAGAGGAGGAAAAGGAGGAGGAGGAGGAAGAAAAAGAAAAGAAGAAGAAAAAGATGAAGAAGAAAAAAAATGAAGAAAAAGAAGAAGAAAAAAGAAGAAAAAGAAAGAAGAAGAAAATGATTAGAAGAAAGAAAATGAAGAAAAAGAAGAAAAAAGAAAAGAAGAATGATAAGAGGAGAAAAAAAATGAGGAAGAAGGAAAAGAAGAATGAAGAAGAAGAAGAAGAAGATGAAGAAGAAGAAAAGAAGAAGAAGAAGAAAAGAAAAAAAAGATTTGAAGAAGAAAAGAATGAAGAAAAAGAAGAATGTTAAAAAAAAAAGAAGAATGATCAGAAAAAGAAGGAGGAAAATGAAGAAAGAAGAAAAGAAGAATGATCAGAAAAAAGAAAAAATTTGAAGAAGAAAAAGAAGAATGGTCAGAAAAGAAGAAGAAAAAAAAGTATTTAAGAAGAAGAAGAAAAAGGAGAAGAAGAAAAGAAGAAAAAGAAAAAAGAAGAAAAGAAGAATGATAAAAAAAAGAAGAAAATGATTTGAAGAAAAAGAAGAATGTTAAAAAGAAGGAAAAAGAAGAAGAAAAGGGGAGGAGAAGAAGAAGAAGAAGAAGAAGAAAAGAAGAAGAAGAAAAGAAAGATTAGAAGAAGAAGAAAAATGAGGAGGGAAAGAGAAGAAGAATGATAGAAGAAGAAAAGAAGAATGTTAAAAAAAAAATGATTTGAAGAATGTTAAGAGGAGGAAAAAGGAGGAATGAGGAAGGAGAAGAAGAAGAAAAAGAAGAAAATGATTAAGAAGAAGAAAGTTAGAAGAAGAAGAACGCTACAAAGAGAAGAAGAATGTTAGAAGAAGAAAAAGAAGAATGTTAAAAAAAGAAGTATGTTAAGAGGAGGAAAAGGAGGAGGAGGAGGAGGAGAAGAAGAAGAAGAAGAAGAAGATGAAGAAGAAGAAAGTTAGAAGAAGAAGAAGAACGCTACAAAGAGAAGAAGAATGTTAGAAGAAGAAAAAGAAGAATGTTAAAAAAAGAAGTATGTTAAGAGGAGGAAAAGGAGGAGGAGGAGGAGGAGAAGAAGAAGAAGAAGAAAGTTAGAAGAAGAAAGAAGAACGCTACAAAGAGAAGAAGAATGTTAGAAGAAGAAAAAGAAGAATGTTAAAAAAAGAAGTATGTTAAGAGGAGGAAAAGGAGGAGGAGGAAGAAGAAGAAGAAGAAGAAGAAGAAGAAGAAGAAGAAGAAGAAGAAAGTTAGAAGAAGAAGAAGAACGCTACAAAGAGAAGAAGAATGTTAGAAGAAAGTTAAAAAAGAAGAAGTATGTTAGGAGGAGTAGGAGGAGGAGAAGAAGAAGAAGAAGAAGAAGAAGAAGAAGAAGAATGTTAGTAGAAGAATGATGTTAGAAGAAGACGAAGAATGTTGGAAGGAGAAAAAGAAGAATAAGAATGTCTGAAGGAGAAGATGAAGATGAAGAAGAAGAAGACGAATGTTAAAAAAGAAGTATGTTAGAAGAAGAAGAAGAAGAATGTTAGAAGAAGAAAAAGAAAAAGAATGTTAAAAAAGAGGAAGTATGTTAAGAGAAGAAAAAGAAAAGTGTTAGAAGAAGAGTGATGGAAGAAAAAAACAAATTTTATAAGGAGAATAAGAAGAATGTTAAAAGCAGTAGAAAATGAAGAAGAAGTGTGTGGGGTATGAAGGAGAAAACAAACTTGGGTGGGTGATATTGACTTTTCACTGCTCAAACGACGTTCATATCCTTTTGACTGGAATAATCCACATGTAATTGGTTGAAAATCCTCGGAATTGTTTGGATAGATAGAACTGCGCAT